GCAGCGCTGAGACCCTTCGTGTTCTTGAGGCAGTAGTTGCCGGCGGTTACATCCGCGAGGCCTCCCCATCCGGTGAGGCCGAGATCATCGACAACTACGTTGAGGGCACTGAGGACTTTGACGATGACGAAGAGGAGGATGAACGCGCTGCAAAGCGCTTCAAGGCTATGTCCCTCCTTGACCGCATTGAGCCGCGCATGGCAACTCCATCTCCTGATGGGTACTCGGACTGGGCCCGTGAGCCTACGCCTGATGGCACGTCCTTCGGTGAACCCGGGTCGTCGGTTGACGATGAGATTGCTATGGCTGCTGGTTGTGATGATGAGTCAGTACTTTCCTTCCACACTGACCCACAGTGTACTCACCATTGTCCTACAGTGACTACTGAAGCTGCACCCCCGCGCTCGTTGTATGCTGGATATCTAGACAATTGGTTGACGTTACCTGATGGCTCTGTTGTATCGCGTATTGACAATCTATGCATTCATTCGCTTGATTACGCTTTGTGTGGACAATGTAAGGGAAAGTCTGCAGCCTCCAAGTTGCAGTTTAGCAATTGGTTGCTTGACTCTGGCGCATCTGCCACCTATACCATGGAGATGTCAGACTTCGTTGAGTACGCTCCGACTGACAAACCAGATCTCCTGCGCACAGCCAACGGTATCACAAAGTGTGTGGGCTATGGGACTGTATTGCTGAAAAGCGTTACCCTTGACGGCAAGCCAACGGTCATACGCCTTGGTCACGTCGGGTACATCCCAGACCTCACTATGCGGCTCATCAGTCTTGGAGATATTCTCAGAAGAGGGATGGTTTGTCGCGGAAACGCGCGCCAGATCTCTATCTTTGATGAAGGCAGTGGCGCTCACTATATGACGTGTATCAGGGGTCCATTCCTCAATAACATGTACTACCTGGCACAGCCTGGGGATAACGTCATGAGCGCGCCCTTGGCATCGGTCTACGCATTGGACTATGATACAATGCATCGCCGCATGGGTCACCCATCTGATGACGTTCTACGTCGTATGCGAGATGGAACGGATGGCTTTCCACTGGATCTTAAGATTCCTAGCGAGCATCCTCCCTGTCACGGTTGCGCTATGGGCAAGACGCCGCAGCGCAGTTTTCCACCTCTTGAAGAACGTGCTTCAGCACTCTTTGAGACCATCCACTCCGACTTGAAGGAGTTCCCTACTGAGTCGTACTCGAAGTATAAGTATGTCATCGTCTTCATCGATGACTACAGCTCGTACGCATGGATCGCCAGACTTCGCAAGAAGAGCGATTCCCTCCAAGCGCTGAGAGAATTCTTAGCTATGGTCGAGACGCAGTTCAACTCTAAAGTTCGTTCATGGCGCTCTGATCAAGGGGGAGAACTCATTGGGAACCTCAACAAGTCTCCTACGGAGTTCCGCAAACTGCTTGAGTCCAAAGGGATTCGCGTGCGCGGTAGTGCACCTAACGCCCATGGCCAGAATGGTCGTGCAGAGCGCTTCATACGCACTATGATGGAAAAGAGCGAGGCCTTGCGGCATGGCGCCTGCATACCTCAATCCTGGTGGGAATTCAGTATCAAGCATGCTGTCTACCTGTACAACCGGTCACCGGTACGTCGCCTTGAATGGCAGACACCGTACAGTGTCCTCAAAGGCAAACCCCCACGCATTGACAAGTTGCGTGTGTTTGGGTGCGGCGCGTATGTCTTCATACCTGAAGAAGTGCGCAAGAATAAACAACAGCCGCGTGCGGAGCTGATGATCTACCTTGGTGTCGCTCCTGGAGGACTTGGCAACCATCTGTTTATGCGTTTGCCAAATAACATGCTTTTTACTGCCGCACAAGCGCTCTTTGATGAGCACCTGTTCCCTCGCTGTAAGAAGAGCATGGAAGGCCGTCACCGGCCCACTGTGCTTGACCAGCGGTATACACTACCTCCAAAGGAATCCACTTGGTTGGACGACGAAGATGCGGTACCCGCACCGTCGCACTCCCATCACGAACCTCCCGTTGAAAAGAGACAGGACGCTCAGCATGACGATGCAGAGCCGCAGCCTCAGGTGCGTACGCCCAAACAAGAGCGTAGTCCTAGTCCGCCTGCTCAAGCACCGGAAGTGCCGCCTGCTGTTGAGATACCGCAGCCGCGCCGCACTGCTAGAGTCAGGAATGCTCCCGCTCGTCTACGAGATAATGCGCATGGTGATCGCCCACCAGCGCTACTCGATCAGGACCGGCGCAGGAAAGTTGGCAATGAGGGCCCTACCAAACGGCCAACCAAGGCCCCTCAGACGTCTGCTGAACAGGTTCCCGGACCTAGTTCGCAACCCACGCCACATCCTAATGACTAAGCGCCTATGCCTGACGCAGAAGAAGAAGCGGAGTTGGCAAAACTATGCCGGGAAGGGGGAGTAGGATTGATCAATTACCTCATGGCGCAAGCCATTGAACATGATCTTCCTCAACCAGACGTCCGACGTGTTCGTGAGTGGACGTGGCGAGACCTCAAGCGCCTTCCTACAGAAGAACTTGAGAAGTGGAAAGCCGCTATGCGTGAAGAACTAGAGGCACTTCGCAAGCGTGGCACCTTTGAGTACGTGGACCGACCAAGGAACCGTCGCGTTATTAAGAACCGATGGGTCTTTGATGAGAAGCCCGATGGTCGTTTAAAAGCGCGACTAGTCGCTAAAGGCTTTACGCAGGTCGAAGGTGTTGACTTTGACCAAGTCTTCTCCCCGGTTGTTCGCTTTGAGTCCTTGAGGCTCATCCTTGCGCTCTGTGCGCTAAAGGACATACATATCCTCGGTGTCGATGTTCGCAACGCTTACCTGTATGCTGAACTTGACGAGGAAATCTACATGGAGCAACCTGAGGGATTTGCCTTACCGGGAAAGGAGCACCTCGTCATTAGACTGAGACGTGCCCTATACGGTCTCAAACAGGCTGGACTAGAATGGTGGAAAGCCATGTCTAAGTCCATGGAGGAACTCGGCTTCAGCCGTTTACACTCCGACGCCGGCATCTTCATCTACACGGACAAGAAGACTGGCGCTAAATGCATTGCCGTCGTCTATGTAGATGATGCCCTATTCTGCAGTGCAGACCGAGCTCTTGCTGAGATGCTGAAGAAGCGGTTCATGGCAAAGTGGGAATGCAGGGATCTTGGCGATGCTAAGGAGTTCCTACGTATGCGCATCACTCGGAAGGGCCAGATCATTGCCATTGATCAGGTTGACTACCTTGAGAAGTTGCTGCAGCGTACTGGAATGACTAACGCCAAAGCGGCTTCTACACCGCTCCCTGCAGGCTATTATCCTGAACCCAACAAGGGGGAGGTTGATCCCGCTCTTCGCCAACGGTATCAAACCGTCATTGGTTCGCTTCTCTGGATTATGCTGGGCACGCGCCCAGATATATCCTTTGCAGTCACTAAGCTGGCGCAATACTCAGCAAACCCGTCTGATGAGCATCTGAAGAAAGCTCTCCATGTGTGCCGCTACCTTGTAGGCACCAAGGATTACCGTCTTGTTTATGACGGCAGACGCGGTGTTGGCGTACATGCCATGACAGACTCGGATTGGGGTTCTGACCCAACCACTCGGCGATCGCAGACTGGCTATTTTGTGTCTCTCGCCTCGGGTGCCTTCTCATGGACCTCACGCGCACAGAAGACTGTTGCGCACTCCTCTACAGAGGCAGAATACATGGCGCTCAGTGATTGTAGCCGCCAAGTAGTCTGGGTCCATCAGCTCTTCAAGGAGCTGGGCTACCGTGTGCAGCCTATTGAGATCAGCGGGGATAATCAAGGCTCGATCTTTATCGCCTCAAACCCCGTGGTGGATAAGCGCTCGAAGCATGTTGACATCCGGTACCATTATATCCAGGAAGTCATTGCTCGCGGCCTCGTTGAGGTTACATACATACCTGGCGAGGATAATCCAGCTGATCTTCTTACCAAGAATCTAGCGCGCACAAAGTTTGAGAAGTTCCGGTCAATGTACGGCTTATACTTCCCAAAGAAGAAGCCTGAATAGACTGTTCGCTTGCGATGTGCTTGTATGATCCTGCGCATCTTAGCGAGGGGGAG